CCCCCCCCCCCCAAAAAAAAAAGAGTACAGCAGCACCTTGGATTGAAAAGATGCCCACTCAAGTACATAAACTGCAGCATCTTATGTCCCCAGATGTGACTACATAATTTACACAGTAAACACAAATCAATTTCCAAGGACCACATAATCTGATTGGATCATGGAGTGGCTTAGGTTGGAAGGGACCTCAAAGATCACTCAGTTCCAACTCCCTGCTGTAGGAAGGGTTGCCATCCACCAGCTCAGGCTGCCCAAGGCCCCACTCAACCTGGCCTTGAGTGCCTCCAGGGATGGGGTATCTACAGCTTCCCTTGGCAGCCTGTGCTAGTGCCTCACCACCCTTGGAATAAAGAGTTTCTTCCTAATATCTAAACTAAATCTACCATCTTTTATTTTAAATCCATTCCCCCTTGATCTGTCACTATCAGGCTTCTTTTTAATTTGGCAAGGGTACATATACATTGAAAAATTCTCTAGTCTTATTATATTTAAAACAACTCAGTTACTTTATGAAATTTTAAAGCAATTTTACATAATACTTCAGAGACGTTCAGAAAACTTTTCAACATCCACTGTTTCTGATTTGTTCTATTAGTTTAATTATTAAAAAGCTGATATTAATATAAATATTATACATAAATATGGCGTGCCTTTAGGAGATGAGGTTCAAGTTCTGTCCTCTACTCAAAGGTCACTCCTTCGCAAGCCTACCTTTGCAGTTAGGCATTATATTACAATATTTTACTTCTCATTTTAAAAAACAACCAACAAAATGAACAAACCCCCCCACTTTGTTCTCTGATGAATATCCACTGGATTAAGAGAGTTAGGTTCTGCTTTTGGATATGCCTGTTCTTCCATCTCAGGCCTTAGCAAGAACTCCTCATTGAGTTAAGCCTGGTCTTCATTTTGTGATCTTTCAGTGATACTACAGGCCATTAAACCCAGATGAATTAAAAGCTGCTTTGAAAGTCAATGACATTATTATTATTTTTTTTTTCCCCAAAGGTAGAATTAACAGATGTGCACAGTCAATATAACGAGGTGTCTCTTGGATGACAATTACTTGATATGTTCTTGGAGGCTTTCCAGCTCACTGATAATGATGAGTATGTGTGGAGAAGAAAAAAGGCTCTTTCTCTCAGAGTAGGCAGATTCTGTAAACATGATTTT